TCCTCTCCCTTCGGTGGAGGCCTGCACTCCCTCGAGTCCGCGGCCCTCCCGCATGGGTTCCAAGTATAGGGAGTCGGTGGATCCATCGCCGATGCGCACGCGATGCGGATCGATATGCATATATATATATATATATATATATATATATGATCGCGGGTTCAGGGTCCTCGCCCCCCCCCCCCACCCCCACCCTGATGGGATTGGTCCAGGGTCCTCGGCCCCCCCCAGATGGATGGGGGGAGGAGGAGGAGGAGGAGGAGGAGGAGGAGGAGGAGGAGGAGGAGGTGGATGAGAAGGAGGAGGAGGAGGAGGAGGAGGAGGAGAAGGAGGAGGAAGAGGAGGAGGAGGAGGAGGAGGACGACGACGGCAATGACGACGACGACGACGACGACGACGACGACGACGACGACGACGACGACGACGACGACGACGACGACGACACCGACAACGACGACGACAACGACGACGACGACGACGACGTCGACGGCACCACCAGCGGCGGCGGCGACGACGTCGAGCACCGGAGCTGTCAACATGACGCCAATCCCAGCCACACGCCGCACCCACACCGCACCCACAGAGGGGGAGGGAGGGGGGGAGGAGGACCATGGCGTCACCCCGCACACACCCACAGCAACACACCACACCCACACCACATCCACAGGGGGGGGGGGGAGCCACCACGCCACGCCCACGCCCACGCCCACAGGGGGGGGGGGCATCGCGCGGGGGGGGGGGGGGGGGGGGCGATGGCATTAGCATTTGGGGGGGGGGCCTAAACCCTCGACCATATATAGCCCGATCTGCTTCATGCCGACGGCGCAGATGTATCGCCGACGGCGCCGACGCATCGCCGATGTGTCGGCGATGCGTTGGCGCTGCGGCGCTGCGGGATTTTGCTAGTCGCACGCGCAGCTCATTTGTAGGTGTTGACGTAGTCCCCCTTTATGCGGATGACCTGACCTGACTCGGACCTCATTCTTCCACACTGGGCGCCTTCGCACTCCCGGGGGCCTTCACGCGTCCAGCCGTCTCGGGGAGTGCCGCGGGAAGGCGTGGTCCAGGTTTTCCGCTGTGATGTCTCGTGGTGTATTTTTGTTTGTCCGTGGCCTCGGAGCTCAGGCTTCGCGTGGCCGTGATGGGCGATATGGGCGCGAGCTCAGACGGTCCGCACCTCGGATGCTTCGCCTCCCGCAAGTGCGCCGGGGCGGCCGCCGTGAAGGAGCTGCTGAGGGCGTCGTCCGGGGTGCTCGACGCCGTGTTCAACATCGGCGACATCTCGTACGCGGCTGGCGCCGACGCCGTGTGGGAGGACTACGCGCGGGAGAATGAGCACGTGTCGAGCCAGGTCCCGTGGATGACGGCGGTCGGCAACCACGAGTGGGGGCCAGACTCCAATTGCGAGTGCGGGACGCCCTACGCATTCAGATACCCCATGCCGACGAACGACGGCGCAGGCGTGGATTTCGACGCGCATCGCAAGCCGATTTGCCACACGTCGGTGCACCAGAAGGGCAAGAAGATGTGCTCGTACGCCAACGACGACCGCGCCCTGGCTTGGCACGACATGGCCTATTCGGTCGACATGGGAAACGCGCGCATCGTGGTGGTGAGCACCCAGCACGGTATCACCAAGGGGACGGGCCAGTTCGAGTGGTTGAGGAGGAAGCTCACCACCGATCCCAAGCGGTGGCAGGTGATCATGGGCCACATTGACGCGTGCTCGCCCTGCGACCCGCTGCAGACGGCGGAGAACGACATGGCGGACTGCTACTGTTGGCCGAACGGAGGGCCCGTCGGCGAGTATGGCGCCAGCAGCATGAGCGTCGTGCAGCAGCTCGTCACACAGCACGGGCTGCCCGTCGACCTCGTCCTGGCCGGGCACTCGCACGAGTATTCCTTTGCGCTGCCGCGCGAGTCCGCCCCCGCGCTCGAGCGTTCGCGGGAGGCGGGGCTGGGGAATCAAGCAGTGGCGAAGCGTCTTGGCTCGCCTATAGCCCTATCACGCAATTTCCTTAGAACCTTTGGTGGTTTTCACGACATGTTCTTAGAACATGTCTGTTTTAGATTGTCTTGTTTCATCACATCGGGTTTATGTTCTAAGAGCATTGTTTTTGTTATTAGAACATTTGTGGGTTCTTAGAACATTTCGTGGTATATGACTATAAGAATGCTGGGACGGTCGGTCCCTGCTCAAGGCTGGGGAAGGAGGCGCCCGAGGGAGCAGTTCCCACGGCACCTGCGGCCCTCCATGCTGCTGCGCGACGGCCCATCGGGAGTTGTACGCTGGGCCCCGTGGGGCCGCAGGTGGCGTGGAGTCGTTCGTGTTCTGGTCCACTGGAGCGCGTTGCCCGATCGTTTGATCCTGGCAGCATCGCGGAAACACCGCTTGCACCAATAGGCCAAGGTTAAGTCGGGCACGTCCCTCTACAGGAGGAATATTCACAAACAGTCAACGCATCGTATGGGGAATCTGTTTTAAACTCGTATGTAGACCATTTGAAGTATTTCTGGGATATTTTTAATTTTTCGTCTAACATCCGCCTGTAGGGGGACACGCCCGACCTGAGGCTAAGGTTCATCTTCTCAGTCTTTGGCCGAGCTCCTCGAGCTTTCGAGCCCGCGGTCCGCTCGTGCGCGCCCCGTGGCCGCCTGACGCGCGCTGGCCAGGTGCTCCTGGTCGTCAGCTGTGTGTCGCTGGCCTATTTTGGTTCCCATCAACATATCAACAACATCATCACATCATCAACAACATCATCAACACCAACATCATCATCGTCACCATCATCATCATCATCATCATCATCATCATCATCAGCATCATCATCATCGCCTTTTTGATTTCCAGGCAAGCGCGCAGGGATCTGGTCCAAACAGTGATCGCAAGTGGGGCTCTTGGCGTCGGGGGGGGACAGCTGATGCTGTGCAAGAAACGGAGTCATGAGTGACATCGAGGGCCCGACGCACACCATCCGCTGCAAAAGTGCGGTGGCGGACTTCGTCAGGAACTGCACCGGCATGCCAGATTGCGATGCGGGGAAGCAGGCTCCGCTCGTGATCGTGGGCGGCGCTGGGCACTCTGGGGAGCAAATGTCTGCGACACATTGCCAATCCTTCTCCGACGGGTGTGACATTGGTAATGGTATTAACGTTGACAATGACAAATGACGACGATGGTGGTGATGGTGATGATGATGCGGATGAGTGTGATGATATGAAGACAATGACGATGGTACTGGCGATGGTAATGATGGTGAGAAAGGTGATGGCTGAGGCGATTATGAAGATGATGAGTGTGATGATGATGGTTCTGATTAGGATGACGGTGTGCGAAAGAAACGGCTGCGGCGGGGGCCTCTGGGAGGGGCCCCGTCAGGGCATTCTGGAAATGGAGACAAGCTGCGATAGTTCATATAGTGGACGAGGAAATGCAATCGAGATTTGGGGATCGGGCACCCCGAATGGGGTTCACCTGGATACAGACATCCTTCGAATGCCGAACCCCGGCAGGCGCTTCAGAAATTTGATCTGCAGGGGTAGAGTTCACATGATGCTGCCTGATACAGTCGGCCCGGATTAGTAGGTGGACCCTGCCAGGTCAAGGGTACCCTTGTGTCCTGTGCCTCGCGACGCGTGTCTTCTTACATCTTACATTCCTATGACGATGTGGACCTCGGAAGGGTCCTGAGTCCTCTCGTTTGTCCTGTCCAACGAAGGCCGACTGTATCATAGAGGCACCGGCGCCCTTCTCCCTTGTTTCCGCCTCGCTGGACCGAGGCCCTCGCTCCCACGGCCGGAAGTGCCCCGGCATCCTGGCCTGAGCGCACCTCACGAGAGGGATCGGGGAATTCCGCTCTCGGCATCTGGGTGCCGGCGGAGCATTTCGTCACCGTGCCACGGGCCAGGAGGTTCGAGATAGGGGGGGCGGCGTACGCAACGAAGCATGGGCATGAGGAGGTGTTGGCCCAATGTTCACAGAAACCCTGACGGGCAGCACTTGGTATTCTGACACGTCTGCGTCGCGCAGGCACGGTGGCAGATTTCTGTTCCATCAGGTACGGGCACGACGAGGGAGAACCGGGGGACGCCCGAAAAGAGCGTGGCAATCAGTGCAGCCGCGCGCCATACGGGTATGTGGAGCTGGGCTTTGGGGACGACGCTATCGAGGTCAACTTCCGCGGCGTGGCTGGGACTGGCAGTGATGACTACGACACGGCCAGCTGTCTGACCCTGCACGTGAAGGAGAAGCACGCCGAGGATCGAGTGCACGAGAGCACGGCGTTATATATTTCACGCTCTCGGAGGTCCGCGCGCAGTTCTTGGTTAGGCTCCGGCTTTCCCCCCTCCCCGCCCCTGGCGCGCTTCGCTGGGGAGCGAGGGGTGTGGAGAGGGGGTCAGCCCCGACCCAAGACATGCGCGTGGACTACCGAAAGTCAGAGCCCCGAATCATCAGGGGTAACTCGGGTCAGGGCTAACTCGGGTTCCTTTTTCGGGAATCCAAACCCGAGTTGCCCCGGACCCGAGTTACCCCGGATAACTCGGGCGTCCAGAGCCCCACATCATCAGGGGTAACTCGGGTCAGGGCTAACTCGGGTTCCTTTTTCGGGAATCCGAACCCAAGTTACCCCGGACCCGAGTTATCCCGGATAACTCGGGCGTCCAGAGCCCCACATCATCAGGGGTAACTCGGGTCAGGGCTAACTCGGGTTCCTTTTTCGGGAATCCGAACCCAAGTTACCCCGGACCCGAGTTATCTCGGATAACTCGGGCGTCCAGAGCCCCACATCATCAGGGGTAATTCGGGTCAGGGCTAACTCGGGTTCGTTTCTCGGGAATCCAAACCCGAGTTACCCTGGACCCGAGTTACCCCGGATAATTCGGGCGCCCAGACATGCGCGTGGACTACCGAAAGGTTCTGAATACGCCGTGTCCTGGTGTTCTCTCTCAGGAGAAGCCAGCCGGCTGGTGGCCGCGCTTTACGCAGTCCACTGGTGGCCGGAGGCTGGATGACGACTCCTGTCACCTGAATATGCACGCAGTCTTTGACACGGACAGGTGCACTCCAGCGTCCTTTTCCGTTCACAAGGGGGAGAAGCCGCCTGTGCGTTTGATCTGAGGGTGCAAAGGCCCCTCGGCGAGAAGATGTATGTCGAAGGCCTTACGGCCGGTGCCGCCGACTCTGAAGGGAGACGATGACGACGACGACGACGACGACAACGACGACAAAGGCCCCTCGGCGAGAAGATTTGGTTAGCCGATCCCCAGGCCCACCCCTCCGACATTCGTGTTCTGTGTCGGCGCGGACCCGCGGAGGTTAAAGCTCGCATGCAGGCTCGTTGTGATTCTCGCGATGTCCGGAGGCTCGAGCAGGGTCCGAGAGCAGGATCGACCTTGTGACCTCGCTTGGGGCGCGCTCGGCCAGCGAATCAGCCGCTGAGACAAGGGCCCTGCTGGAGGCCCACGAGTGGTGGCAAGACGTCAGAGTTCCCGTCCCTTCGCCTCCCCTCATACCTGGGGTGACGAGAACCATTGATGCACATTGCCTCAGCGGCCTATCAAGATGGCAGAGAACGCGGCCTCAATTTCCAGGCTTTCCAAATGGGGCCAGAGTAGATGGGGGTCGAAGGATCGGATCGCGTCGCATCGCCGAAGGCTCGGCGAGCAGCCCGATTTCCTCCGCGCCATCGGCGGCGAAGCATCGCCGACGTCGCCGATGCATCTGCGATCCATTGGCGATGCGGCGCGATACTCCGACCCCATCTGCTCGGAAAGCCTCCGACATCTGCGACCACGTGTGAAACACACGCCTGCGGATCTAATCGACGCCAGTGCATTATCGCGCATCCACGCTGGGGTTCGCCTGGCTAGAAACATCCTTCAGAGCATAAACCCTGGCGGGTTCTGAAGAAACCTCACTTGCAGGGGTAGGGCCCACACACGGCTGCCTACAAACATCGTCCCAGACATTCGATGCCCTGACCTTTCCAATGCGGGGTTTTCTCAGAAGTCACGACCCTTTAATCCCAGGGCCGGCTTCTCATCCCGAGCCTTTTTGTGGACGGTCCCCAGGCCTTGCGAGGACCCAAGAGGCCGGAAAAGGCCAAATCTTCCCGCATCACGACGCGGGCATGTCTGGGGTTGATTCTGGACTCCTCGATTCTGGGAGGACTCTGCGTCGGCGGCGGGCGAGGGGGGGGAAGTGAGAAGGAGAAGGCCTCCTCAGGAGGCGGCGACACTTCACAGAGGCCCTCCGCTCTTCTGAGAGGCCTTCTGCGTCTACGAGGAAGGCTCAGGAGAAACTTTTCAGAAGGCCAAGGGACTTCCGAGCCTTTGAGAAGGCCCGCCCCTTGTCACTTCCCCCCTCGGATGCAACTCCAGGGAGGTCAAATTCTGATTTTGCCCTGGTGCGAAATCCGGGCAAATCTGGCTTATTCCCGCTCGTTCCCGTTGAATCCTGATCGATCCGGCTGAATCCCGCTTGATCCGCGGCCTGCTCTGGCGTAACGGACCCTCAATGGGACTGAATCCTCTTGAACCCGTCCGACGAAGACCCCCCAGTTGTTGCTCAGGAGGGGAAAAAGCACACAGTCACAATTAATCGTCGACCCCCAGGAATATATGGGACAATACGGGAAGTGGGGGAGGGGGGAAGACGACAACCCCGAAAAGATGGGGAAATATATAGGGAACCCTGGGATTTGTGTGTCTCTATTCGTGTGCCCTTGGGTCCCTGCAGTTGCTTCCTGCCCCCCCGGGCTCGCCGCCGAGGGAGGACCCCTCGCTTCCTTTCTCGCCCTCGCAGCCCTCTTAGCCCTCTCGGCTCGCTGCCGAGGGAGGATTTTCCTCGCTTCCCTCAAGTCGGGCGTGTCCCCCTACAGGGGAACTTTCGAGGAAAAACAAGCAATACCCCAAACATGCCCCCCAAAAGGCCAAACACTACTCAAAAAAGAGTCCCCGGACCATTTTTGGATTACTTTTTGGCAATTTTGGGGTGCTATTTCTTACGTTTTGTCCTGCTCGTCGAACATGTCCCCTCCAGGGGGACAGGCCCGACTTGACGCCTCCCTCCCGGCCCTCGTGGGCACCGGCCGCCCGCGTCGGTCCGCGGCCGCCGCCCCCGAGGGGCCGCCGCCGCCGCCCCCCCGCGGGGCGCGCCCGCGGGAGCCCCCCGCAGGCGCCCCCGCGCCGCGGGCGCCCAGCCCGTGCCCGCCGGGCGCGCGCCGCCGGCCCTTGCCCGGGGCTGTTGCGCGCGCGCTCGCCGGGGGATCGAGATGTCCTCCTCCTCCCCCTGCTCCTCCTCCTCCTGCTCCTCCTGCTCCTGCTCCTCCTGCTCCTCCTCCTCCTCCTGCTCCTCCTCCTCCTGCTCCTCCTCCTCCTGCTCCTCCTCCTGCTCCTCCTCCTCCTCGTCCTCCTCCCTCTCCTCCTCCTCCGCCCTCTCTCTCACCTCCTCCGCGGCCGCTCTCTTCTGCTCCAGCGCGTCTGCGCAATGGGGGCGCAGATCGGGCGGGCCCGAGCCCAATCTACTTCTGATTCATGCTTCCACCTGCTTCTTCCGACCGGCGTGTGCCCGTCACTCCCGTTGTCCCCCTTTTGGGGGGCCTCCCGGGAGGCCCTCGTCGGCACCGCCGGATTCGCCTCGGAATGTTGGGCAGCACGCGCCCCGGTACCCTCGCTTATAGCCCCACCAAACAATGTTCTAAGAACCTTCTGTGGTTCCCACGACAGGTTCTTAGAGCATTTCTGGCGGGGTCTGTCTTGGTTCAACACATCGGGCTTCTGTTCTAAGAACATTGTTTTTGTTCTTAGAACATTCTTGGGTTTAACAGCATTTCGTGGTAGGACTATAGGAATGCCGGGACGGTCGGTCCCTGCTCAAGTTGCGCGTGCGCTCGGGGCGATCGAGACGGGTGCGGAGGGGAGGGGCGCAGACCTCAGAGGAGGAAGACCCAGAGATCCAACGTATTGAAAACATTAAGACGGAGGTTTTTCTTAATTTTCGGCCTCGAGGGGCCCTCGCCGGGCTGCTGCGCGTGCGATCGGGGCGAGCGAGACGGGTGTGGAGGGGAGGGGCGCAGACCTCAGAGGAGGAAGAGGTGCCCGCTGGTCGCTGAAAGTAGGTAATTCTGGTCTGGAGGCCCGAAATGGGTACGGAAAGAATGGGTACAATGCCCAACAGCAGTCCCTGTTCATCTTGAACAGGACTCGCTGTCCGCGCCGCCGCGGCCTGTGTCCATTTGAGACAAAAGGCCGCCTGCCCAACAGCGGCCGCTGTTGGTTTGGGACAACATTCGTTGTTGGGCATCGTACCCGGGCTGTTGCGCGTGCGCTCGGGGCGATCGAGATGGGTTCGGGGGCGGCAAAGAGGGGGGTGATGACTGGGGGGGGGGGATATCATGGCGGGGGCCATGATATCTCCCCAGATTTCAGGGCGCGTCTTGTAATTTCGTTACGTCCCTGGCCCCCCCGCCGGGCCGCGCACATGCCGCCGGTCATGACTTGCACCCACCCCTCTTGGACACCCCCCTCTTGGCCGCTCCCGAGGAGGTGAGGGGTGCAGACCTCAGAGGAGGAAGAGGTACACGCTGGTCGTTGAAAGAAGGTAGTTCTGGGCTCCCAGAGCCCAATCTGCTTAAAGCGCTTTCCTATTTCAAGAATCGATATGGTTCGGCCGTTGCTTGCTATTCTTTAGGCGGGCCCGAGCCCAATCTACTTATCCGCCTTCCTACTTCATGTTTCTACCTACTTCTTCCGACCGGCGTGTACCCGTTATCAATCGCTTCGCTCATTCCGCCGGCCCTGGAGCGCTATTCGAGGCCTCTTGGGGCCGTCTTGGGGGCCTCTTGGAGGCTTTCTAGGAGCGTCTTGGGGCTCCTCGGCGGCGTCTTGGGCTCCCCTGGGGCCTCTTAGGGGGCGCTTGGGGGCCCCTTGGGGCGGGAGGGGGGGTAGTCGATTGCAGCCACCCTCTCGGAGGCCACGATCCTCGTGAGGGGTGGCGAAACATAGCCTCCCCCCTGGGGATCGCCCGGGACCCGGCCGGGGATCAGCCAGGGTACTTTTCGCCCGGGGGCCCCCAGGGGCCGCCCCGCGCGCGAGAATTAGAAATATTGTGAAGTAGTTACCGGAGACCTGAGCACGCCTCTGGCCCGTTGGGCCGGCGAATTCCCGTTGTCCCCCTTTTGGGGGGCCTCCTGGGAGGCCCTCGTCGGCACCGCCGGATTCGCCTCGGAATGCTGGGCAGCACGCGCCCCGGGCGGTACCAGTCGTCAAGGAGTGGCGGAGCGTCCCGGCTCGCCTATAGCCCCACCAAACAATGTTTTAATAACCTTTTGTGGTTTCCAAAAAATGTTCTTAGAACATTTCTGGTGGAGTCTGTCTTGTTTTATCACATCGGGTTTATGTTCTAAGAACATTGTTTTTGTTATTAGAACATGTTTGGGTTCTGAGAACATTTCGTGGTAGGACTATAGGAATGCCGGGACGGTCGGGTCCTGCTCAACGTCGGTTTCCTCAGAGATGGGTACGGAGAGGAGGGGTGCAGATCATGAAGCACAAAAGAGCCCCCAACAACCTTGATAACACGATGAAGACGTGACCTCGCTGAGGTACCCCCCCTCTCGCATCAGGGACAGCAGTCCTGGGCGGCGTGGTCCGATCCATCTGCGGAAGAGACCCCCTTATCCCTGATGTTTTCCGGCTCTCCTGACTTCGATCCCCTCCCTAAAGGGTGAGGTGTTTTTGTTGGTAAGTCTACGGAGACCGACAGCAAATTCTGCTCACTTTTGAACGGAACTTGCTTTCCGTGCCGCCGCGGACGCTGTCCACTGAAGACAGAAAGCCGCCCGCCCAACAGTGGCCGCGATCGGTTTGGGACGGCATTTGTTGTATGGTCGTACCGATGTTCTTCGTATCCATTTCGGGCGTCCAAATGTTGGGGGGAAGGTGCCCCAGACATGTTTCGGGGGAGCGTAAGACCCGGGTTTGCCAGGACTCGGGTTCGCCATTGTTTTTTGACGACCGCGCCTCGGATTTTGACGAGGAGGGGTTTCGTGGGATGTCTGCAGCGGGAGGCCTCGTCAAAATGCAGGCTCGGCCTCGTCATTTTTTTGACGACCTCGTCGGGGATTTCCGAGTCCCCCGTACCCGGGTCTTACGTCTCCCCGAATGTTAGCGCCATGAGAAAATCAGGGCGGGAGGTTTTGACAGTTTCTCAGGAGCAGCGACAGGGGGGGGATAGGCAGTGGAGGGGATGCATCGACCCCAATCGCCCACTGATCGCGGACAGGGGTCTGGTAGCCCCATCTTGCCAAGGAACGTGCGGATTCGCTATCGGGGGCCTACCTCCGATCTATCGGCGATCTATCGCCCATTCCACGTCGACGTTTTCCCCCCTTTGCCAGTCCCCCCTATCGTTGCCCCTCAGTTTCGGCCTCTCGGGGCCCTCACTGGGCCCCGGGACCGTCAACAAACGATAAGGAAAACCAGTCCCGGGGAACAGGATGGGACTTCCAGGGACCGCGCATTGAAAACATCAGGGCGTCCCATGTCTGGGGCAGCGAGACCACCAACCACCACCAACAGGGGATCACCTCCAGCGAGGATGTCCACGATGCTTCCCCGAGCTGGGGATACAGGGATGTGTCAAGCGAGAGAGGGGACCACACCACCATGGCATGGTCCCCCCACTCGTGGTCCCAGGTGTTGGTGGTGTCGCTTTTCCTTGTTCCTGTTGGTCGCCAAGCGTACGCCCGCCGGCCATGCCCAGGCTGTCTGTTGCGCGTGTGGCCTCCCGCTGGTCGGTACAGCCGATGTGGGTACGGAAAGAACGGAGGCCAAGACCGACATTTTGATCAGAACTCGCCGTCCGCGTCGCCGCGGCCGTCATCCATTTCAGGGGCAAGGGTGCCTGCCCAACGTCGGCCGCTGTCACTTCTGGGCGACATTCGTTTCCTGCGTGCGGGCAAGACGCAGGGATGAGGGCCGCCTACGAGTGGCTCTGCGTTTCGGGCCGACCCGCGGATGTAGGTCGGCGAACCTGTTCCTGGAGGAGGAGGAGGAGGAGGAGGAGCAGGAGGAGGAGGAGGAGGAGGAGGAGCAGGAGGAGGAGGAGGAGGAGGAGGAGGAGGAGGGGAGGCGACCCTGAGATCCTGTGCAGGGGGCAGATGTCCAGGAAAACCTCCTTCGTTCTTTGCGCGGCGTCCCTCCTGGTAGCGCGATGACTGCGCGCCGATGGTCGCTTCGACCGACACGGGTCTTGAAGCAACAGGGGCGGACGCCGACGGCATGCCCGGATCTCCGACGGCATTTTTTTTTTAAATGTTTTTTTTTTCAATCCACGCGTCGACTTCGGCTTCCAGGTCTCGTCATCGGGCCCTGGGGCCATCAGGAATGGAGCCGGGACGAAACGCCGGCCCCCGAGAAGTGGTCGAGGCCTCTGGAGCGCAGCACTGGCATGGGGACGAAGAGACCCACAGTATGTCGTGCCCACGAAGGTAACGACGCCTGTCGGTGTCGTGGCGGCATTGTCCAGTGAGCAGGGCTCGCTGTCGGTGTCGCCGCGGGCATTGCCCACTTGAGACACTATCGCCTGGCCCAATAGCGGCCGCTGCCGGCTTCGGTCAGGCAACATCTGCCGCTGGGCATCGTGACTCCGTTCCGTACCCCGTATCGGGCGTGTCTAGCTCGGGCGCCTGACAGCTCCACCTCGGCGTCCTGCGGCGCGCCGGGGGCAGCGCGGCGTAATTCGGTTCATGTCGCTTCGCTAGCTGCGCGCCGCGTCACGCAGCTGCCCACGGTGCCAGAGTAGAGGGCTCCGCGCTCTCTCTGGGCGTCGGCCGCCGCGCCTTCGCACGCCCGCTGCGCGTCAAAGGAAGTGGGCTCTTGGGTCAGAGGAGGCAGAGATGCCGATGATGCCGCTGCTCCTCGTGGATTGGCGCGCTCCGCTCCCAAATTGTGTTTTAAGTATCGTTGCTCGGTCGCTCGGCAAGCCCTCGTTGGACAATCGAAAACGCCTCGTCGGACACTGGAGCAACGCTCGTCGGACACTCGTGGTTCGAGCTTCGTATTGGTGGAATATGTTGTATCCTCCAACAATGCATTACGACTTGCCATCTACGACTGGTCGATACAATACGACTGGTCATATACTACAATGCGCTA